AGGGGCATTTTTGTACTTTTTATCAACTAAATATAGAATAAGTTCTTTAAATAATTTCTAATGAGGTGCTTTTCTAATATGGTTTTTTTAATTAAATATGTGTATTTGATTCGAATTTCACATTTTTTTTATAAGTTTTTAATAATTCATAAATTATTATGTATAGTCGATGTATTATTTTAATTTTATATTTAATTGTATCGAAATGACCATTTTGAGAATATACCATACATTTAGATAATAAAATTATCAAAATATTCTTTAATTAATCATCATTTGAGTAATATTATATACGAAATACTACCTAAGTAATTAATATCAATTATAAAGGACCCCGTAGATAATTAAATTTATTAAAGACTGAATACGAAAAATACTCCGTACCTTGTTATAAAGAAACATTTGGAGAATTTGCTCAAATAAAATTTCAATTGAGAAAGAGAGGGTATTACGGGGTAATATGCAATATAGTTTTATTTAATTACTCTGTAATTATTAACACTCACTTCGCCCCAAATTAACTACTGCAGTTATTATTACGACTTCTCGATAATTTATGTCTGTATATATGTTTTCATTGATCATTTGATAAAATAGAATAATGTTGTTAATTCTTATTTTTAAAATTTTTAACGTAGTTTTGAAAGGTGTAATAAGTATTTTTTATATTTAAGACAATTATCAAATAAAATTATTTTTAAAGAGATTAGAGATTTTGCAGGTTCTTTCTAATGAGAAGAATAAATTAGGAGAAGAGAGCGAGTATTAAACTGGGAAAAAAACTAAAGTAGAAGTAAAACATTGAAAATATACTAAAATAAGATATTCGTAGTTTTATTCTCGAAATAAAAGTTTAAGTGTATTTACAGTACCAATCATGACCATATACATTACCAAAAAGTATTGAAAAATATTTATATACAGTGTCACATTACTACAATGCAAATTCTTATTTTAAAATAATAACATAGAATTCATATTTTTTTTTGAAACAAATGCACATATTCATTCATCACCAAACCTGCAAGTCTACATGAACTATTACATCTCAAACTCAGATAAATAACAAACAGTTAAGACCAACAACTAAGTCCAGCACCTACTGGCCTTCTAAACTTTATGTTTACTCCAAAAAATATTAAGTTGTGCTATAGCCCAGCCACAAATTTCTTCTTCCCGCAGCTTTTCCTTATCATGTAAGCTTTTGTTCCTAGCCCTCCAAATAGCATAACATCCTGCAGAAAAAGCACTCATACACCTTAGTTTATTCTTGCCTTTGATCCTCCCTAGGCCATCTGTGATCTCTT